CACTCCCTAACTTCACGACCGAACTCCAGCAAACAATTATCTGTACATACTTTTGCCAGATTATTAAATAAAATTTTGCTTAAACTTTTTACATCCTCGCCTTTGTTGTCCTTGCTTCGATCGTATTACCCTACATTATTTTTCTGCTTGCAGGCTTAACGCCGCAACAATAGTAATATAGTAAATCCACGAATTATTTGTTGTAATTGTTTTTCCTTTAACGTGACATGGAGAAAATCCTCCAATTATTAGAGCAATGTCTTAGTAGAATTTGGTACTGCTAATCAGTTTTTCCTACATATATTAAATGAAATGTAAAAAATAATATTAAAGCTTGATGATGAAAATAGGATAATTTTTCGAATGTCCTAGCACGAGAACATCAAATCCGAAATTATCTTAACGTAAAAAATGACGGCATATAATGAAATGGATTAAGTCTGAAATTATTTAGTAAGCTCTATGTTTATAGGTTATTTTTATAGATAAAATTTATATAAGTAAATGCTCTCTTCTTAATTAAACAATGTTAATTACATTTACCGACCTGAAAACAGACAATATATATATTAATGATTTTATGTTCACTTAAAGATAACAAATATTTTTTTTATCATTTCCGGCTAAGAAAAGATATAATGCCACGAATAGGCAAGCGGTTACTAGCAATGCAAGTAAATGTGAAAATACTTGTAAAGCAGGAAATTCTAAGAGATTTTCGTAGGTTAAAGTACAATAATAATAATAATAATAATAATAACAAACTATTAGAATTTCAAAACTTAAACGGTGTGATGTACTAGCCAATCAATACTACGCTTGATTAGGTAGGTACTAAGAACAATTATTTTCTAATATATAAAGTAAATAACTTATTCGATGGTAACCATACTAATAGAAGGAATCTGAAGCGAAAACAGTGTGGAAAACAAGAAATAAAACAATTTTATTTTCAAGACAAACCATTGAAAGTACAACGGTTGAAAAATATAAAGTTAGATTCAGAGAGACATGACGCTTATATGCTGAAAAACCATGAGGAATATATAAGAACTAATTATATTGAATACAAGACAGAACATATTAAACCATATGTAAGTAGAGAGAACACAGTCAATTATCGCGAAAGGAAAAAGTTTCTCCTGTGTACAGATATAGACATTTTTCTTTGGGAAATATTATCAACTGGAGAATTGTGCAAACGGCTGGATTTAGGTATATAAATCGATACCATAAGCATAAACGAGAAAACTGTCATAGGGAATAAAAAGCGAACGGATCACTCAATCTAGTCGTGTTTACCAGATTTAGACATTGTAAAAAGAAGTAAATTTGTCAGATATTGCCGTCTCAGAATAATATAGCATCAACCTGAATAAAAGTGAGACCTCTGAATATATGTGTAGATAGTAATAAAGAGAAGAAATGCAGAAATCATAAATTGAGTACTCATCTTTGCCGGCGCATATGGACTCGTAAATAAGCTAAGAGTATTTCGATGTAGTTGATCTCTAAGAAAATATAATGTAATATGCTGTCAACTATGCTGCATTCCCTACAACAAATCGCGCCTAGTATATTTTACTTTTTGTCCTTATTCATATTGTCATATTGTCCTTTTACTGTTATACATTATCGATAAGATTTGCACACACACAGACACACAGATACACACACACAGACAAATATATATATATATATATATATATATATATATATATATATATATATATATATATATTTGTGTATATTTAGGCAGCAATTTTTTTATTAATGCATGTTTCATTGAATAATATAGACACGTTTTGTTTATTTATTTTAAGTAAGTTTCTTTCATATTGTCTGATAAACTTAATCATATTATCGTTGAAAGCCGAAAGGGAAAACAACATATTCATACATGTTTAAATCCAATCTAAGCATTCGCCTTACATAAGCCATTATCAAACATGACAATTTCAATGAATCAAACAACACACGGAAGAAACAACAATGACAGTCCGCCCTTGCTGCATGAATCATTTCCATGTAACTTCAAACTCCTATATACGAGACGCGGATCGTGAGGTCACACATGACAACGCGAGAGTGAAAAACGAGAAGTATTAAGTATGGGCAGCCGTTAGTATAAACCAATGGTTTCTATTTCATATATATATATATATATATATATATATATATATATATATATATATATATATATATATTCGTATATATATGTATGTATATATATATTTTTATATGTATGTATAGATAGTTTATATATATAATACCGATTTGTGACTGGTAGGGATAACACCAAGACTGCAAGAATGATATTAATGCAGAAAGCGCTCTATGTCAACTAAAGCGTATGATAATAATAATAATAATAATAATAATAATAATATACACAAGCGATGGCAAGGTAAACCGCTTCATGGCCAATACACTGCCCGTACCAAACAAGCTGATGTAGATAAAACCCGTAACCATAAGTGGCTACGGAGTGCAGGGTTGAAAGCTGAAACTGAAGGTTTTATCCTTGCTGCACAGGACCAATGCTTTCTAACAAGAAATTATCAAGCACATATACTGAAATATTGTGTCAGACCAAAATGCAGATTCTGTGATAAATATCCAGAAACGATTGATCATCTTGTATCAGGTTGCACGATATTGGCACCCACTGGATATAAACCCCGGCATGACAGAGTTAGCCAATATCTGCAGAGGAAAATCTGCAACTTCTACGCGAAGGTAACTGAAATAAATGGTATGAACACCACTCCTATCCGGTTACGGAGATAGGACCTGTTACAATTCTATGGGACTACACAATACACACTGACAGAACAAGCCAACCGCCCAGATATTGTTATTAAAGAAGACAAAAAAAAATAGGGCCTCCTTATTGATATGGCAATCCCTGCTGCCTGCATTGTATATTTGAAGATATTCAAAAAGCTGTCAAAATACAAGGACCTTGAAATAGAAATCTCGTAATTTGTAGCATATGGAAACATCAACAATCCCTGTTTTAGTTGGAGCCCTAGGGCTGTTTGGAAAAGATTGCAGTAACCTAATTGAAGGGATTTCTGGAAGTCCATGCCTCAAGGAGATACAAAAATTGTTCTGACAAGTACAGCCCACATTTTACGAAGGGTTTTATCTAAAAAAATTTTTTTTTTTTTTTTTTTTTTTCATCAGTGGAAAATGTCATGATGACATTTCTAAACTTAGGTCCCTGGGCGACCCGGAAAGAAATGTTAAACGCCATAAATCAAAAAAAAAAATAACAAAAAAAAAACAATCAACAACAACAATAATAATAATAATAATAATATATAATAATAAAAAACCAAGAAAAAAAATTCAGGTTTATCCATTCCTGTTATAATTTATTTTGAATATCTATATTTTTCTTCTTCAACTTGAATATATTTTAATAAATGGTATAGGGTTTCAGTTGGATTGATGCACTATTGTTTTTAATTTATTAAAAAAATCTTTTTGTCATTTTCTGAACAGATTAATTTATAGAGATATTCACGATATAAATTCTAATGCATTTTTAAGCTCTTTTTCATAAATTTTTAATTATTTGTTATAGCTTTTTGAACAATTGCTACCACGACGAGTCAAATGGGTCCACTGTCCTGAAAACTGCATTTTCTTTCCTGAATTAAAATTGTCCGAATAATCTGTGATTTCGATGCATTTCAGTTATTCTTTTAGCCATTATATGCATGTTTCTTTTTTCCTTTGTCTGCGTTATTTAAACAGCATATATAGATGCATTTTTGTGTTTCTAGATTGTTGTGAAGGTGAGTTTTATTCTCATTTTTCACTTCAGACCGTGTTCATTGTTGATGTTATTGACTACTGTCTTTTTCTTATCAAGTCTTCCATTATTCTAATACTTTTCTGAGATGAAAATGATTTCTGTATGCTTTTAGTAGTTTTCAACGAGTCATTTGTGCTGGCAAAGAGATGTAATATGTAACATACATACAAATTGATACATAAATTATATATATATATATATATATATATATATATATATATATATATATATATATATATATATATATATATGAATGTGTGTGTATGTATATATATATATGTATTCAGTTTTATGGATATGTATATAATAAACTTTTCTGATCACAAAAGAAAAAAAAAGTCAGTTTTAAAAAATAAAAAAAAAAAGCGTGAAACCCATTTAGTTAAAATTCATATCCATACAACTGAATATGTTAAATTTTATCACTAATATTGTATTATATATATATATATATATATATATATATATATATATATATATATATATTATTTTTTAAGGATGAGTGACAGACTTTGCATTTCTTTTCTAAGTAAAAAGATTACCCATATAAAAATAATTACAAATTAGATTCAAACTGATGAAAATGGTACCGTAACTCTCTTTTACAATATTAATACAGTACTATGGTTCGGGTAGACAAACTGTTATAATTTAAATTTTTTTAAAAATATTTTCTCTATAAATGTGTTAATAAATATAGTATTTAACGTATATTAAATCACTAAACTATGAGTAAAAAAAATAAATATTTAAATTTCTTGGAAGCATCAAATTAATTTTTCGTTTTTTTTAGATATTTAAATTACTATCAAACATTAAAATCTATTTTTTACATAAATTGCTTAAAACCCAGTTACAATGTCTTTGTGTTTACATCCCTCTTCTTTTTTTTTTTTTTTTTTTTTTTTTTTAATTTCTCTTTGTTCCCATTTCAATATATCACTTCCATTAACTGTCTAAATAGGTGAAGGTCTGGTCACCCTCCTTACCCAATACTAATTATGATTAAAGAGAGATGAAATTAAATTAACTCTATCATGTTACTTTAACTATTTTTTACAATCTCTCTGTAAATTTTTTTTTTTTACGCTACCCATAAATTTTAATTTCATTTTTTTTTCATTTTTGAAGTGCTATCTGATGATCTGGAAATCATTTAAAAGGGATCTGGTGA